ATTTTAAAGAGGATGTAACACAGGAAAGAGTCTGACTGTACAGCTCCTCTGGGTGTGAACATTACAACCGTCACGGCCTTCGTAGCAGCTGTGATCTTTACGACCGCATTGGAAACTTCACTTTATGCTTCCTCTGCCATCGACCCGGCCAGGATCCACAGATAAGGAACTTCCTCTCTGATAAAGCAGGTCTAGAAAAACAGTGCATCATAAAATCACTCCAGGAAACATCCTACCCTTATGAAGAGCTTTGCTAGAAAATATTTAAAGCGCTTAAACTTTTTCCTACCATAACCTTTATTTTATTGTGCATTTGAAGACCAGGAAAACATGGTAGACTTAAAGGAAAAATATAGAATGATTTCAATTTTCTTACTTATAAAAGTATGGCATTCATATGCATTACCCCCTTTGACACAGATCCACCTAAATACAAATGAGCTTCCCCGAAAAGGCAATTTAAATAGAACCCTCCTGTGTTTGATTCAATCTTGGTACAAATCCAACATCAACATCTGAGAAGGTCTCAGAGGTTTGTTGCGAACCAAGGAACCAGCAGACCAGACTGGAGAATATATTGACAGGATGGTTGGTACAAAAATTCTATTATGAAGAGTGTAAATAAAGCAATTTTGTCAGAAAACCCTCATTACACCACCAGATGTACCATATTCACTTTACTGCAGACAATTCGAAGAAGAAGCTGCTCTAGTCAACATGTAAAATGCTATGTTTGTCAGAGAACAGGCCTTTCACATGAGCCTGAACACATCATCCCCAACCGAACCATGGGGGTGGCAGAATCATGCTAGGAAGCCTGTTCACATGTGAGAATAAAAGGCTGCGCAGAAAAGTTTCTAGATGTGAAAAGAAGGTGGTGAAAGAATGTCAGCTCTAATGCAACAAAGGTATTGACGTGGGGAGCTTGAAAATATGCAGAATATAAATAAATAAATTGAACATTATTGATCTCACATTGGAGATGCATTTAACCCATCCCCTTGGGGAGCAGTGGGCTGCCATTGTGCGGTGCCTGGGGGGCAGTGTGGGGTTAAGGGTCTTGCCCAGGGACCCAGAGTGGCAGTCTGGGGGAGTGGGGGATCGAACTCCCAATCTCAGGATTCAAAGCCCTATGCCCTATATGTTGCTTTACAGGTCTTTATTTGAAATAAAAAACACAAAACAAAACACAATTCATTCTTTTTCAATCTATGCCATAAATTGTGTGTTTATCACATAAAATATCTGTAAAAAAGATTGTGGATGAAAATGGATTAGATTAGAAAACCTTCCAGAGAACTGTGTCTAACTGAATGTCAGCTCAACCGCTCTGGAAGTTTTTTTTTTTTTTTTTTTTTTTTAGATCTTTAAGCTTTTATGTTTGCTTCTTCAAGTTAACATAGGGATGGCAGCATATTAAGCTCCATCATTGAGAAAAGCACAATTTCCCTGAACCACAGCAGTCAGTGCTGATAGAGATGAGGTGGGATTGAATGCTAGAGAAGTTACACCATAGAATATTTCTGTATAGCTGCCATTTTTACATTTTATTTTCACAGAAAGTGAAGTAGCAGTTGTGATGGTATGATGACTGTAAGGGCTGATGTTCCATAATGTCTGGGTGCTTTTGGGTGTCGGCCCTCAGTCTGTGTGCGAGTGTCAATCGTGGTCTGATGGGTCTGTTCGTTGTCCATCGTTAGATTGATAGCAGCTTCTGTTGTCATGCCACAAGGTCGTCAGTGTTAATGAGGGCCTGCAGCTTGCTAGGGCTTAATTACTCTTAAAACCCTTTATCTCTAATTGCCCAGTGAAGAGCCCAATGAAGCTTTATGCACATCAACAGCAGCAAACTCCCAATACACAACAGCTAAAGTTTGGACCACAGCAGATTTCACACAAACAGAATCACGAAAAACACCGACGCTGAGCTGGAGATTAATTTTCTCCCTGCAGTTTCAAAACAACAGCATAATTAGCTCTGTCTCTGCCACAGCGCCTCTCCTCCTGGCTCTGTCGGCAGCTAGACGCCTAACTCTGGAGGAATGATGGAGAGCTCAAAGGTCAAAGGGCAAACTCAACAGGGAGCAAAGTTTGATCACCAGCAGGACAACACATATGGGCTCAAGGGGCCAAAAGTCACTCGTTTTTTTAAATCCAAACTCAGACATTTGGCTTCTCCAGACAATTTTTCAAGAGCTCTTAATGGATCTCTATAGCTCTCCAATAATCTGTCCCTTAAAACTGATGTAATAAAAACTGTTTAAACTGTTTTTATCCTATTAAACTATCACCCAGAACCTTTTTCAGAGGAGCTGATCGTTTATGTTGGTTTTCCTTTAAGACAGTTTAAGAAGATTAGAGTCATAAATGTCAGAAAAACAAGGAAAAGTAAAGTCGTAAATGAACAAGAACCTCTGCAAACACATACACTGCAAAAGGGAACCAAAAGAACATTTTCATTAAAATGTAAGTTTTTGCACTTGGTTTGATTACTTGGGTAAAATGATATGCTAATGAAAAAAAGGTTTTTCAACTTAAAATTAGAAATAATAATAAATCAAATCCATTATCTTATTTACATATAAATAAATAGCTTATTTTAATGGAAAAAATAGTGGTTTCATTGGTAGACAATTTTCCTTACCTGCTCTTTGTTTTAAGATAAAGGGACTGGTTATATCTTTTACTCAAATGAAGACCCAACACACAAAATAAACATTTTCTTATGTTTAGATACATTTTTGCAGTATATATATTTAGACTGCATGATGTGTTTTTGAATATAACTGATCACAGCTTTTCCAGTAGTTTTATCTTTTTCTTTTTTTTCTCATTTCACATCCGAGGAGCCAGACTTTCTCCTAACATTATAAAGTGATCTCAATCAGCATTTCTCCAGGTGTTCTGAAGGTTACACCTGAATTTTTGTATGTTTGGTATGTGCTTGAAAAACAGAAAAGTGGAAAAGTCTATGTCATGAACAAAGTATTGAAAAGCCCTGTTGAAGACATGCTGGGGAAATCCAACAAACATTTCTAAGAGTTTTATCCATTTTCAGTGGATCATCTGCAGTACGCCAAAAGACAAGGCACTGATTATTTTCAGTTCCTGTTCAAGCTGATTTCAATTGGTGGCTCTAAGGCTTCTGTAGAGCCTGTTTGGAGATCTCTCTCTGTTTCTTCTTAACTTGTTGATGTGTCTTCTTCACTTTATACGCAGTGTCTTCTGGAAGGGATATCATCATAAATAGCATTAGAAGGGTTACAATTTGCTGTGTATTTCTTCGACTGCAGTAGGTGGTGTTTACCCGTGGGGAGTTCTTCCGGCTGGATGCAGACTGAGGCCAGACTGAAGAGGGAGAAGATGACGAAGGCCAAGATGATGAAGGTAAGCTCAAAGCCAGAGAACGGCACTTCCATCTACACAGCTGCTCACACAAAGCATGAGGTCAGACCTACAAAATGAATATGCAGAATGATAAAAGTCACATCTTAACATAACTATATTAATGGTTTTTAAACGTGTGGATATTTAGAAAACTCACATATTCTTAAAGAAATATTAGGAAATTACTTTCTTAAAAAAAAAATTAACAATCCATGTTTTTTTAGTTGCACAAATTTCAAAACAGTCCAAAGATAAAGTTTTATTATGCTGTAATAACCCTGTAAATAACTGTCATTTCAGGTTGTTTCTTTTCAGTGAATAAAAATAACTTAATTTTTTTTTATACAAAGACAGCTGAGTAGAACGAGATCCTTACTTTCTGTTGCTTTAGAAAGAGTCTGAAGTTACTTCTTACATGTAATCATCGACTTTTTTGGGACAGATCTTCATTAAACTACAAGTCAAAAGTTAAGGCACAGCTTTCTCACTCTTTAGATTTTCTACATTTTTATTCATTTGTACTTTGTAGAGAAAGAAAGCATCATTTCTGTGATGCAAATGCTTATAGATCTTCGTAATAAGATAGAAGATACTTTATATTCCAGTTTATATCTATTTATCCCCTTTTTGGGGGGCTTTAAAACTTCTTGGCATTAATAGGCTTCACCTAAAATTATTTTCAGTGTTGGAGAAATTCCCAGTGGCAGCAGTAAATCTAAGCTATAATAAAAAAAAAATGTGTATCCAAACTTCTGACTGCTTCTCTATGAACCTTTAAGAGCATATTTAGTCAGAGCATATTTAGGGTTCCTCACCTCTGATATGGCATATATTTATAATGCACCAACTTTCAAATCTTCACACCTATTAATTAGCAATCAGCTTTACTAAAGACCTTTTTTGCTTAAAAAAAAAAAGGAAATTATTTGTTTTAATTTAAGGTTGATCTGGCCTTATCTTAAAAACGTTTCAAATGATCAAATCTTTTATAACAACATTTTATTACATTGTTTCTTAATAAAGTTTGGGTACTCTTAACTGTCTGGTTTCAATAATTTTACAATTTAATGTTTTTCTTATTGTGTGTGTGGTGCTTTACGTATTTAGTGATCTGCATGTGAGAAAACTATAGAGCTATGGGCAAACATTTGCAGTAAAACAATAATTATGCTCTATGACATAAACGTTTGAGATTTTTATCAAATAAATACATCAAATGTGAATATGTAAAGCCTAGTTATTAGAGTAGGAAATAAGAAAAGTCATAGATTTTTTAAAAACAGACCTAAAGATTTACTTTACTTTGCACTTTAAAAATGAAAATGTCTTGAGAGCTGTACTAAAAAAATATTTTTGTATACACTCCATGAGTACAAAATTACAATAAAGTCTGTCTAAGTCTAAGGTACTGTAGCTGAATAGATTAAACTCTGCAGCTTCCGCCTGTTCCACTTTTTAAAATGGATTTTATGAAAGATGTTAAACTGCTACATTTTTAAAATGTATTATTGGTTTGTGTATAAGCAGGGAAGAGTAATGATTTCTTTATTAATTGTGATATGTTACACTTATCTGAGGGGTGTCCAAAATATTGATGCCCAGATCACGGACCCACCTCTTATAAATAGTTCTCCAGCGAGCTGTAAAAAGACAGATCATCACCAAATACGTTTTACGTTTTAAACCTATACATATTTTTTTATGACAGGTGTCTTGGCCAAAAATCCACCACCTTGGAGGAGAACCTACTAAGAACATGGAATAGATCTGGATGTATCACACGTTGCTCCACATTAGACTGGATTTCCAAATTAATAAGAGTTGATAGGAGTCATCCTCAGACAAAATTATTTTTGCACCAGTCTTCTGCTTTGATCATTGTTCTCCCTGCAGAATATCAGCCTGTTCTTGTTTTTCCATCACAGAAGTGCCTCCTTTTCTGTCTGTCTTCTCCCAAGACTGTGAAGATGTGTTTATACCCAACTGCTACTAATGCTAACCAACTTCACACTATCAGCAACGATACGCTGTAGCTCACTCTGTAGGAGGAGATAGTCCAGGATTTCTTAAAGCTCCCCTCCTTAAGGCAAACTCTTTGAATTTAAAGTTCTTGATCATCTGGAAAAAATCTCTTTGAACTATATTATCTTGCAGTGATTTCTGCACTGCATGCTTCTCCTCAGAGGTAAATGCCCAAACAAAAGCACTATGTGTGTCCCTTTTGTATAACAATTAGTTTTTAAATGAGATTTCTGAAATGATCACTGTTGGAACCATTTTATTATATGATATATACTAATATGAGGTGATAGTGTCTGTCAACCTTTTCTTTGATTAGATATGCAGAAAGAACTATATGTTGTTTATAGTTGATTGCTATTAAATGAATAAAGCTCTTTAGGATTTATAAAATGTATTTAAGGGGTTAAAACGATATGAACTTTCTTTAGAGAAGTTGAATCTGTGTGAAAACATTTGGATTTTTCTGTACATGACAGTAAATGATTTTTTTAAACGCAATATCCCTTTTCCCCACCAGATGGCGTAGAAGATTTTTTTTCTGGCATCTGCTCAATATCTAATTGCAGAAACCTGCACAACGTTTACACTGCAGAATTAATAGTTCCTGACATGAAAAGACAAGATTTTATAATCATTTAAACTGTTTATCTAAATCTGAACACAGAATTAGTTCGAATGGTAAATATTTATATAAAAGTTCCTAAATATGTTAATGTGGTGGTGTGACTGAGCTGTCGCTGAAGCCTGAGGAGATAAACCTGCATTGATGAAATGGTGCTAAAAGAGAAGAAGCATGTGAAGTCACACAAGCAGTGAAAATGTTCAGTAGACTTCAGTGAGAAAGTCTTTACAATCTAAATCTTCAGCCACAATGCCTCCATTTCCCAGAGTTTGATAAAAAGGTCTTTAATGTTTACCACTGACTTTGTAATATGCTGCCTTATATACATCTAAATGAAACATCAAACTTTATATAAAGAGAATTCATAAGCTGAATTCATATAAAACCAAAGAGCTCTAATAAACATTTTAACCTTTTACTGATTCTAATTGTTAAGATAGTGGTGATAAGTATAATTCGTTTTAACAGGGAAGTTTCAGCCCTGAAGTCAGTCACATATTTTACTTGCAACAGTAAATTCTCTTTGAAAACAGGTTTTACTCTTTAATCGCTAATTAAACTGAGTCAAGTCTCCACAATAACTTGACAGCAAACTGATCCGACCAGCACACCTTTTCCTTCTTCAGAGATCACACGCACTTTAGATAAATAAGAAAGATTAGTTTGCTGTTGTCAGACTTACTGAAAGAAGTACGCAGGCTGTTTTCTAGATTCAGATTCCACAAAGGAAGAATTTCTTGTTCTCTCTTGATATCCGAAAGCCAAGCAGGCGAGGCTGTCATGAGCCACTCTGTTGGAGCAGGTGTCTTTCTGTCGCTTGTTTTTAGTTGCACAATGTACCACTCCTTTGTGGCTCATCCTGGAAGCAAGTTATACCAGGTCCTCAAACAAAGCATGCGCAAATACATGTTCAGAGGTCAGCCTGGTGAACTATGTTTTATGAACTGATAAAAAACTTCTGGCTACACACCAGGATGCAGTAAAGTTTCTCCAACAAAGTGCTTATTAGCAGGAAGGATTACTGAGTCACACTAACATCTTTTGGCTTTGGGGTTTTCCATTTGTTTCTACAAAAAAGAGAAAAGAAATTGGCATTTTATGTCTTCTTTATAAAAAATAAAATATCTAAAATAATTTAAAAAAGAGAAAATACAAAACATCTAGCATCAAAACAAAACAATCCATGCTACATTTTACATCAGATTACATTTAAGGATCAGAAAGCAAAATTTTGTATATCGGTCTTTTAAACATTTTGAATACAAAAATTCATTATGAATCTACTTTCCTAATGACATTAAGGTTATAGACTGTTTTGTGTCATTTCACAAAAAATACAAGGTGGATCTTGACAAGAAATGTCATTACTTGGCTACCAATGTAACAGAGCTAAGACCTTATTCCTGCACAATAAATATGTTTTCTATGAGTAAGAGCTAGCTATATACAGGGTATGCGTATATATACATATATATATATATATGTAACTTTTATATTCCATTTCTATTGTTTTCAGACTTTCACCAGACTTTCAACTCCACCGAGCATGGTTTCAGGTCGATTTCCGGGGCTGTATTTTAATTTCATCCCTTGCCTGCTGCTCAGCTTTATCTGGACCCAACCTCAACCTCTCTCCTTGTTGGTGGTGGGCCCCTGTGGAAGGGCCCTTCTGTTGCCTTTCCCGGTTTTGTCACACTGGGAAAATTATACCTACTACTACAGAAAATATATCTCTGCTGCTCCTGGTGTGACTCCTTCCCTGGGACCATTTGCCTTTGCAGATTTTCCAGACATCATAACCCTCAGACTTAATGGGATACTTAAACCTCTGCTCCTTGTCAGCATGGAGAGTCTATGGAGAAGGAGGTCTAACTTAAAAAATCTAGACTGGTCCCTTCAAGGTTTTGGGTTGGAGTATCTCGATGCCTTGATCACTAGCCATTGTAGGATAGAGCAGTTTTTTGTAAAGATCTTAATTAACTGGCCTGTCTACATTCCAACTTACCTGTGTGAGTCATATGATATGTATCATAACAGAAAGAATGACACCCAGGATAAAAGTGTTGGACATGAGCGGCTGTTGGGCAGCTGGGCGTACGGTAATAGGGTGCATCGCTCATCTAACACATAAGGATGGAGCAAGGGCATAGGTCGGATTTCACCTTTGGTAGGAACACTATTGGTCTTTAGTTTTATTGGTCTGAGATCATTGGTGCATGCATTTTTTTAATGCTTAAAGTGAGCATATCATTTAAAGAGAAAAGCAGCATTTCTTGCTAGATTTATACAAATTTTATAAGCACTTTACACACTAGATGCTGTTTATCAATGTTTGAAGCATCACATTCATCTGATGAATGTGGAATTAGGACTTTTTTCCTCTTTGAAAAGGTTTGCATTGAAGGTAAATACGTGTCTATTTACCCAAATATAGTCTAAATATGTTATATGTGGATTTATCCAGTATTTTCTTTTGAAGATACAGAATTGTGCAGAGGTAAACAGAGGTAGAACCCACTCTTTGATACAAAGCAAAACGAGTTAAAGGGACCATTTGATGTATTCTATCTAGGGCTCAAACAATGAATCAGATTAATCATGATAAATCGATTAATGAAATAATCGTCAACAAGTTTAGCAATTGTTTAATTGTTAATTGAATTATAGAGACTCTAAAAAATGCCTTAAAGGAATAGTACACCCAAAACATGATTAGCCTTCATTTTCTACTCACCCACATGCTGAACAACACTCTGGAGTACTTTTTTGATATCTCAAATGCATCTGGAGATCTGGGAGGCTTCTTGCTGTCTGCTGACATTCAAATAATGGAGGTCTATGGTGCCCGAGACAGAAAGGTCCATAAAAGTCCACAAAAAACGTGTCAATATTCCTCCATACTGCTCGTCCAATGTATTCCAAGTGTTCTGAGTGGGTAGCGTCCATAATTTACTCGAAACGAAGTCATTTAGAATGTTTTTAGAGCATAAACAGTAGTGTATAGTATTTCCTGAAAGCGCACACATGCGCGTTCACGACGCTACGGAAGCCGGCAGACCAAACCAGATGAAAGTGCGCATTCAGCGTCTGCTCTGCCAATAATGCAAGCGTAGAAGAAGAAATGTGCTGTTTACCTGTGCAAAGAAAGAAACAACGAAAGAAAAATGTCTGAGGACTTCAGTGTTGAGGAAGAGCATGAGTTCTTTGCCGAGCTGAATGCGCTGGTTTGGTCTGCCGGCTTCCATAGCGTCGTGAATGCGCATGTGCGCGCTTTCAGGAAATCCTATACACTACTGTTTATGCTCTAAAAACATTCTAAATGACTTCGTTTCGAGTAAATTCTGGATGCTACCCACTCAGGACACTTGGAATACATTGGACGAGCAGTATGGAGGAATATTGACACGTTTTTTGTGAACTTTTATGGACCTTTCTGCCTCGGGCGCCATAGACCTCCATTATTTGAATGTCAGCAGACAGCAAGAAGCCTCCCAGATCTCCAGATGGATTTGAGATATCAAAAAAGTACTCCAGAGTGTTGTTCAGCATGGGGGTGAGTAGAAAATGAAGGCTAATCATGTTTTGGGTGTACTATTCCTTTAAGCTGACAGAGTAAACCAATTAAAACAGTTATTATATCAAAATTGTAAAAAAAAAAAATTATATAAACATTTTGCAATTTAGATAAAAAAATGTTTTGCCTGTCAATATTCTCCATCCAGAACACCTCAAGAGGAAAAGTTTCTGTTTTACCTGCTTTGAATTTTGTAAAAAATCTTCTTTATGGAACCTTTTGCTATCTGATCGACCTGTCCAAGGTGGTGGTGATCGTATGGCAGGCCGTTTTGATTGTCTCACCCGTAGACAGCTGGAGATATCGTGACTCAGATTGGGTTACGCATGAAGGAAGATGGATGGATGGATTACTATCTGATTATTGATTATTAAATTATTCGTCAAAAAAAGGATTGACAGATTATTCGATTTGCAAAATAATCATTTGTCTAAAGTGGAGATAACATTCAACCAAACATATACGTTAATCAGGCAAACTATGCTAAAATTCATGTTGCATCATTTGTGAGCTCCAACAGAGATCACTGAATCCAATAACTGAACAAAATTAAACTCTCACCTGAAGCCACTTCTCTAACTATCTGTGCTGTAACATCACCCTTCATTGTTTGAGTTCCCTAAATTTAGCCATATAAAACACACATTTATTTTTATGTTGTATATAAATAAAAAAAACTTAATTTATTATTGAAATCATTTAGACATCACCTGAAGCACTGAAAGTCCAGCTGCTTCACCTTCAAGCTGCCCTGCATCATTATTACTGGATATCTATGTTTCCTAATATTAAAGGATTAAATGAAACACAAACATTTACATCATCCAATGTTACTTACTGTCTGACTGTTAAAAAGCTCCTTATGTCTATTTTCTTTTTTTAGTGGCATCATCTACAATGCACAACATTAAGAATGAGGCTAACTTTATTCAGACATAACATCACTTTTACAATTATAAACGAAAATATAACACTATCTTATCTGTAATGTAATAATATCCAAAATAAACAGCCAGATTCAAGCATTTTTACCAGGCACTAATGTTTACTAATTTAGTCAAATTAGATCCACATAATTTTGATGGAACAGCATCCACCCAATCAAATTGCAATCAGTAAAAATGAACATTCAAACAATTCAGCAGTTAGGTAGAAAATTATCAAGAACTCCAATCTCCTGCTTTTAGTTCTGTTCGGAGGTACTTCAGAGTGGGGTATGGTCTGCCAACTCTGGCCAGTTCTAGCTCACTCTGCCAGGGGTTCTTGCTTTGATCCCCTGCTGCTCCTGACTAAACACCCAAGATGATTGGGAAAAGGATGCCAGGTAGTTATCCAGGGTGGTGTATGGTCAACCAAATCTGCCACACACTGCTCTGAAACACTCTCTGCCGGGGGTTTGAAAGAGGATAGCGGTAGATCAGAGCCAGATGCCTGGCAGTGGATCAGAGCTGGGCAGATGCGGTGGGTGGCTGGAATGAGTATGCCGAATGTTGGGTAGAGTGCAGCAGAGCAGAGGATAACTTAATGCTACGTTCACACCAAATGCATTATGAGCAGCAAATAAAGCATCTGCTTATGTGATATGAGGGGGTCTGTTGCAGACCCTTCATATGTGTTTTGTGGCCATCAAAATGCTTCACTGTTATTCTATGGGTCAAAGAGTTGAGTAAATGCATTTGCATTTGTCACAATCTGGCACATTTGGAGAGGTTTGGAGAGACTGGTGACACCAAAAGTTCAAAGCCCCACAGCTCTGGAACTGTGCAGGTAGATAGCTGAAAATGTATTCATTTGTGGTTGATTTGATGTACTAATGTAATACAAATAAGACATGCCTGTTCTCAAGTATGTCTTTATTATTGCTGTTAAAAAAATACTTATTTTCAAGAAGAAAAAAAAAACAACTTTGAGTCATATTTTAACTAATGTAGCTTAGGCTGTGTTTTACTCACACTGTTTTCTTTTATATTTTCAGAAACTGGAAGGTGTTAGCTTACAAATGATGTATCACACATGTAATGTAGACTTACAGTTCCCCAGTTATTTGCTTTACCATTTGGGTATGCAAAATAGGTGAGGATTACTTCAAATCTGGTGGGTGTTAAAAGAAAAAATATTATTTTCTAAAGCAGAAGGCATTTCTAGGTTAAGCTATGCTGCTATTGCACTAAATGTCGATAACTCTACCTTTTAATCGATTGATAAAATGCACTGCCAATTTATATGGAAAAACAAAACCCACTATATTGAGAACTCTGATTATCCTTTTACAGTAAGCTCTGGAGGTCCTAATTTTAGACATCTTGTGCCTAAACTATGCTTATAAAATTAACGGGTTCGGGAAGTTTGTTTTGAACCCAGACTGTTTGTGGAATTATATTATCTCCTTAATATTTACTTCAACTATTAAAAAAGACCCTAAAACTACCGTATTATCACAAACGAGTGCTCTTAGTATGGACACTGATGTACAATCATCCCTTTTCTCCTATAATGTGAACATGAAAAAAAAATATATATATATATATATATATATATTAATAAATTATAATTCAAAAATGTAAAACTTACAATTTCATTATATAATATATATATATATATATATATATATAAATATATATATATATATATATATATATATATATATATATATATATATATATATATATATATATATATATATATATAAACTTAAAACAAACAAACAAAAACTAGCTGACGCTAACCAGCCAATAGCGTAACAGGAAGGCTTTTCGAATGTTTAGTGGTTGCCATGGTTACGAACAAGTAAAACGCTTGCGTTCATTACAATTGCTGTTATTTTTTACTTTTGTTCAGAGGATCTAGTATCTAATTTTCGATCCAATTCTTGTATCAAAATGAACGAAGTTGGAAGTTTAGAAATAAGGTCAGTATATTTATCATTGTAATTTACTTTGTTTCGTTGGACGAAAACAGTTAGTTTCAACGCTGTGTCTAACGTTATTTTCCTATGTCTCCCTCCTTACCAGCTGGATCCAAGGATTTACAGGAGAAAACGTGGAGTTTTTGGACGACAGGACGGTGTGCTACAGGTGTGGTAATCACATAAGCTTCCTGAACCTGGAGACAAAAAGCCGCAGTGTTTTTCAGAGTCCTGGTAGAGGCGTCGGTGCGCTAACTGCTAACGGCAAAATCGGAGTGTTTGCTTTTTCTGAGAGAAAACTCAATCCATCTATATTTGTCTACACGTTTCCCGAATTAGATTTGAAGAATGAACTGAAAGGTACAGTAGTTCTCTATTGCAGGTAGACCTAATGAGATGAACACAATTATTTTATTTGTTTGTTTTTCCAGGGGACGCACGCATGGACTATACATGTATGACATTAAGTGATGGAGGTCCTTATTTGGGCTGCTGCTCCTCGCTTCCTGAGTTCTCCATCACAATATGGTAGGCAAATATGTCATTTAAATTTGTTCACAATCTCAGATGTGAAACAGTACGGAAGAGAAGAGGATTAGGGCCAATAAAAACAAAACAAAAAGTTAACTGATTTTTCTAGATTTATTTCAGTTTAATATGGGAAAAAGTCAGAATTCTGACTTTAATCTCGGAATTCTGACTTGTTTTTCCTCAGAATTCTGACTTTAATTTCAGGATTCTGGCTTTAATTTCAGAATTCTGACTTTTTTTCTCAGAATTGGCTTTAATCTCAGAATTGTGACTTTTTTCCTCAGAATTCCGACTCCTTTCTCAGAATTGTGACTTTTTTTTTCTCAGAATTAACTTTAATCTCAGAATTCTGACTTTTTTCTTAGAATTATGACTTTAATCTCAGAATTCTGACTTTTGTCCCATATTAAAATGAAATAAAATTAAAAAATTAGTTACCTTATCCTCTTCTGTTCTATATAACTGAAGTTAAACTTCTTTTTTTCAGTTATTTTTTTAAAAACTATTATTATTTGTGATTAGATGCAATGTTTGGTCTAAGTGTCATTTTGATTCAAGATCAAACACCATCCGTCATTTAGAGTTGGTTTTTAGGTTAAATCTGGTCGGTCCCTCATAGTCTGGATTTAGTCCAAAAATCATTGTTGAAAATCGGGCTGTTTGGTTGGTCTGATTCGGTCCCATCTTAGTCCAAGTTGAAAAAACGTTGCAAAAACCCAGTTTTCAACGTCTTTTCAACGGTCTGAAAATGTCAGGGCTGCCAACTTTTCACCAAACCTTGGAGTGAAATTTTGAAATAGTGGTGATATGCAACCCTTATCAGGGTTAGATTGAAATGCTATGAGGACAGCTGAAGCTATAGGTTGTAGGTTTTCAGAGGATTTAACTGAAGAAAAATGTGGAATTTTTTTAAGCACTGTAAATGTTTATGAATAACAATAAGTGATCCATAGCTATGTGGAACATTTTCACACAATATACATTATTTTCTATATTCTGGTGATTTATAGAGAATTGAACTAAAAGTATGGGCCCTACTAAAAAACTTGCATCTACTCTAAACTAAGAATTTCTAAACTGTGTTTATTAATAATTCTATGCAGCTCAAGTAAAATAAGCAATGCGAAACAAATGAGTTATTACTGGATTACTGGAACTCATACAGGAACCGTGCAAACTACACTGTGTATGAATATTTGGTAATAGGCTAAGGATTAAAAATCTTAAATCATTATCTTATTAATTTTTTACAGTTGACAATTCAGACCTTCTGTGATTCTATAAAAACTCACCATGACACGAGACAGTATTTCTATGGATGTTTCATTGTGGTAGATGTGATGGAACTTAAGTTTTTAAATATATTTAATGGACCTAAATACATCTCTGTGGGTTTTCCTCTATGAATCCTGATAACTGAGTTGTTCTGCACGTCCTCTCTGGATGTGGTTGGTCTTTTCTTGGGTGGCTGATCTTTTGAAAAATAAAACGCAATTGTTCTTTTCTGTTGTGGATCTTCTATGGGTTTGTGAGGCATATCTGAAAGCTTTAAGAATTTACTTTAGTTTATTGTTGGTTTAATTAGTCCTAAAATCCAACAGAAGATTATTCAACTAGACTGAGTGATAATTATTTTACTTGTGAGCAAAACATGGACTAAATCTGGGACTAAATCAGGAGGCTAAATTAGAAGCAACAAGGATTAAAGCTTTATTTAAAAAAAAACAGCTCTGTATGTAGAGAAAACATCCCATTTGATCTGATCCTACACTCAGTCTCCACATTGACAACAAAAACACTGTGGTTAATTATGCACATCAATAAACTAAAATTAAAGATGATAAGCACAAAATTCATGCTCTTTCCAGAACTAGATTTTGTGTTATATGGGGTAAAGAGAAAATGATGTGTCTCTAAAAGTAATCTAGGAGTTTTCAATGAAATCCTAGATAAATAACTATTTTAATAAAAACGTAATAATCAATTTATGTATATATTAGTACTTCTAAATATCAATTTTAAGCAGAATAATTTTTGATATAAGTAGGTAAGTAATGACAAAGGAAGAGATGTTTGCCCCAGAACTTAAACCTGAAAGAATTTTATCCTCTATACCTTTTATCTAGAAAGCACGGATGTTTAAATATATGCGTCTATTTGTTAGCAGAGGCTGTAGAAAAGTATAGTTTGTTCTTATTTAGAAAATATGGATGTTGTGCTCATTAATCTTCCTGTTGCAATAGTTTAGATTGACCCTGAGGTTCTGGTTCGTATCCACTTTTGGCCACCCCTCAGTGTACATTGGTTATTGCCTGGCCACCCTTATATAAATTTTCTGGCTACGCCTCTGCTGCTTCCAACCAATTTTTGCTTGGTGAGATTCTCTTTTCTGTGTGTTTTTTTGTTTTGTTTGTTTATTATGTTTTTTTATTTAATTTTTTTGTTTAAGAGAAAAGGTGATTCGTATTTGTGTTGATTTTGTTTAATTTTTTTGTAAGTATATTGTTCATTGTATTTATGTGTGAATTGTATGTTGTTGTTTCTGTTATTTCTTGAAAATGCAGCTCAGAATTAACAAGATGTGGTCTGGCCAGCAAACTAACCGCTGTCTCCTGTCAGATTTTTAGCTGCACAGTGCTTTAGCTTGTATGCCCCTTGTTGCTGGTCCAGATTTATAGAGCTAGAAGGGTCTCAATATCCACAAATACACAGCACAAGATCCATGCACGCACAGGAAAAGATCCACACATGAAAACCAGATCCCCACATGCGCAGAAGGAAATTCATACAGATTTCCCCCAGATCTGGTGTCGGTGGCACATGCTTTTGTATGCAACACTCCTGAGTTGATCATTTAAGAAACACCTGCAATAAACAGTCTAGATATCAAAGTTATTAATAATGCTAAAGCGCAGTTACACTGAATAGACAGTGTTTGTGAACAACAATTTTAAGGGGGGTGACGGTCCAGGGATAATTATGTAAAATACAAACTCCTTTAACCTCTTTAAAACACTGACCGTTGGCTATTTAGAGTACGTATAAACCTCAACAGAAGAAATTTTCCTGAATTATTAATAGAAGCATGCATTCTTGACCCTGAACGAATGTATCGGTTCACCATGGTGCTTCCACCACCATGTGCAGATTTTGTTATTGGGTGATGTTCAATGTTGGTTTTCCTCCACATATGACCTGTCTGTTGTTTAATCTCCTCCATGAGACCTTTAGAGAGCAGTATTTAAACTGCAATTAAATGTGTTATCTGATATGATAATTATAACTAAGTAATTCTGTGTGTGCAGGAACTGGCAATCTGCTGAGGTGCTCTGTACACAGTCACAAGCAGGAAATTATGTAATTTCTTTACACTTCAACCCCATGAACTGGCTGCAACTTTGTGCTTTGGGCACCACAACCGTTACTGTCTGGAAAATAGAAAGATGTGGGAGGTTTCACATTCTCAGCCCAAGGTAAAAATCACACAAACTGCACAGTAATTTATCTATTCTGTAAACTGCAGCATTTAGTGAACAGTTCAGGAATATACCCAGTATCTTTAAAGGTGAATTACACAATGTATTCATTGCCAAAAGGGTAATTATATGGTAAAGCTGTCAAGAGGATATACTAGGTTATATGGAGAGAATCTGCTTCTATTGTGTTACAGCATAGTACCGCTTCCAGCAACCGATGTCTTTTTGGCAGAGAACCTCCATCCCCCTCCAGCCAAGAACCCAACCTGCTTTGTTCCAGACATGCGTTTTGTACTAAACACGCAACTTTCAGCTGAACAAATTGTCAAAATAAACCATTCAACCAAAAGATTAATGTTGACTACAGCTTATCTTATTTTTTAATGCAGTCTTCACAGCACACCAGAGACACCGTGACACCATCTTCCCTATGCTGGACAGCAACATCACAACTTAATGTAGGCTGTTCTGAGGGTCACCTCCTCCTTGTTGACCCTGAAAGCCTTTCTGTTTTCGTTCTTTTCAACCCTGCAGGTAAGCTAAAGTAAAGACAGCCAAATGCGTTGTAACAAACCCTCCTGTTATTTATTGTCTTAGATGGATATAACCCTTTTTCTTTTGTTTGTAGCTGCTGATCCCATACCTGAACTCCAAAATTTCTGTTTTCAAGCTTTAAGTTTTACTAGAAATGATCTTATTGCAGTTGATAAGGTATGTAGCATAAAAAATACAGACTATTGACAGTCTAAGATAATTAAAAAAAACTAAACATTTCCTTGTGTTGCAGGAGGGTGTGGTCCATTGTCTGGAGTTCAGACAACGTAAGATCCACATCACCCAAACATGGAAGTTAGAAAGACCCATTTCGACAGCAGTACTCTCCCCTGACGATAAAACATTACTTCTATCCTCTAAAACAGTAGGCACCTAATGTGTTTCATTCTAAACATGGTGTTGAAACAAGCTGTTACATATTACCTAAATCTAAATATGTTTAATCCTAAGGGGCAAATCTATCTGCTGAACCTGGCCAAGTCAGACCATATAGAGGAAGCTCTGAACATTCTCAGCGGCAACTTTTTAACAGCCACTTCGTGTCAAACTGACAAAACTGACATTTGTGTGGTAAGTAATTTATATTGTTTTGTGAATTACATCTTCAATTTACCCCTGCGAGCCGCTGTGTGTATGTTTCTACTAACTTCAGTCCTTAAGGGAGGGTGGAGTTCTGCAGCTGTGGTCCTCTGATGGCACCTGCATCGGCTCCCTGGATCTACAAACAGAAGTGAGTTTGACAAGCAGTCTATCCATAAGCATTATAAAATGACTCATCAGAAAAGTAATGCATTGGAACATAATTGAAGGTAAAGTGTCATTTACGTCCCTATAGGCAACAACTCTTGCCTGCTGTCCCATTGCTAATTATGCAGCTGTTGGAACAGCTTCGGGAAAAGTCCAATTCATTGACTTAAACGATGAGAAGCAACTTTGCCTGGTGCATGAGGTTTACCTCTACCACACTGCTGTGGATCATCTAGTGCAAGTATCCTCCATCTATACAAGAGCATAAACCTTTAGATGACCCGTCACACAGACATTTTTAATTTAGGGTCATAAAAATGAAATCCAGATGTGTTTGTTTTTTTTTTTTTACAGTTTTGATCAAGAGGGACACTACCTTTTCTGTAGTGGATTGGATTTACATCTATATGTGCTCAACCCAAGGCCATCAGCAAGGTTTTCAGTAATAGGATACATTGGTAAGAACTTTTCATGAAGACTGAAGCAAAACAAAATAATATGTATTACAACAATATCGCTTATGTGTATTTGAGTGCCGTGTTGTTGTCTTTTACAGATGTTCCTGGCCACATTTTGTCCCTCTCCACCCAGTGCCTCCCGGTCGAAAGTGGGGAACTGAAGATTCTCATACTGTGTGCAACACAGGACGGAAATGATCATGGTAGCTTGCTGATCGTGTATTCAATGCCTGTTGGTCTGACTGAAGGTAGGAAGCCAGTAAATACAAGCTGCTTAAAAATATGTGGCAATAAAGCGATAAACTGATTTAAATAAAGGATAACCTGGGTTCACAATAGAAAGAGTGGATAAAGCGCAGAACATACACTCACCAGCCACTTTATTGGGTACAACTGTCCAACTGCTCGTTAACACTTATTTTCTAATCAGCCAATACATGGCGGCAACTCAGTGCATTTAGGCATGTAGACATGGTCAAGACAATCTCCTGCAGTTCAAACCGAGCATCAGTATGGGGAAGAAAGGTGATTTGAGTGACTTTGAACATGGCATGATTGTTGGTGCCTGCAGGGCTGGTCTCAGTATTTCAGAAACTGCTGATCTAAAGGCAGAAATGCCTTGTTGATGCCAGAGGTCAGAGGAGAATGGCCAGACTGATTCGAGCCGATAGAAGGGCAACAGTGACTCAAATAACCACCCGTTACAACCAAGGTGGGCAGAAGAGCATCTCTGAACGCACAGTACGTGGAACTTTGAGGCAAATGGGCTACAGCAGCAGAAGACCACACCGGGTGCCACTCCTTTCAGCAAAGAACAGGAAACTGAGGCTACAATTTGCACAAGCTCATTGAAATTGGACAATAGAAGATTGGAAAAACGTTGCCTGGTCTGATGAGTCTCGATTTCTGCTGCGACATTCGGATGGTAGGGTCAGAATTTGGCGTCTACAACATGAAAGCATCGATTCATCCTGCCTTGTATCAACGGTTCAGGCTGGTGGTGGTGGTGTCATGGTGTGGGGAATATTTTCTTGGCACTCTTTGGGCCCCTTGGTACCAATTGAGCATCGTTGCAACACCACAGCCTACCTGAGTATTGTTGCTGACCATGTCCATCCCTTTATGACCACAATGTACCCAACTTCTGATGGCTACTTTCAGCAGGATAATGCGCCATGTCATAAAGCTGGAATCATCTCAGACTGGTTTCTTGAACATGACAATGAGTTCACTGTACTCAAATGGCCTCCACAGTCACCCTATCTCAATCCAATAGAGCATCTTTGGGATGTGGTGGAACGTGAGATTCGCATCATGGATGTGCAGCCGACAAATCTGCGGCAACTGTGTGATGCCATCATGTCAATATGGACCAAACTCCCTGAGGAATGCTTCCAGCACCTTGTTGAATCTATGCCACGAAGAATTGAGGCAGTTCTGAAGGCAAAAGGGGGTCCAACCCGTTACTAGCATGGGGTACCTAATAAAGTGGCCGGTGAGTGTATGTATCATGAGAAATGTATGGGATGATTGATCAGATTTGGAATTAAACCTTTAGTTATCTTAGGAAAAAAGCCTTCAGTAATTTGTTGGTTCTTGAAAAAAATAGATAAACAAGATCTTTTTAAAAACACCTTTGATTGATGAACAGCCAGTGCAACACACAATGACGCAGCAGATTTAGAGCTTAGTACAATGACTTTCAATAGATATGGTTCAAAATAAATAAGAAGTTTTTTTATCTTTTTAATGATTGCATATGTATTACTAAAGCTGATAACACTAATGTGTTTTTGCTGATCTTTAGTGTCAGAGTTTGTAGACCGTAACGGCTGTCTGCACATCCCCAAAAAGTTCACATACAAAGTGCAACCTCCTCTGACTTCCTGTGCTCTGGGAGTCGATGAAGTCTTTGCTTATTGTCAAAGTAAAAAATCTCTTCAGAGATTTCAGCTTCCCAAGGTTTGACCCTGGCACCCTTGTCATCATAGTTCTTAAATTTTGGTAATACTGTTTACACTGAAAGGAATTAAACTATTTTGTTTTGTTCCTGATTTGTTATTTTAGGAGACAAATGATCCGTCCAGCCAACAGATGATCCAGCTGAAACCAAAGGATCAGGTGAAAGGTCACCCACTCGGGCCTGCCTGTGTCCTTCTGTCTCCTGACAGCTTGTGGCTGGCCTCTGTTGGACGAGATGGCTTACTGCGGATCAGGCCAACTGCCTTTATGGTAAGTGGGGATTTTGATTTTTTTTTTCTTCATAATTTGCTTCATTTAAATTATTCAAAATGATCCATGCTTTTTAATTTCTCTTTTTTCAAATCAAAATCCCTAAAAGTCTGCTATGCATTTGTATTAAACCCCCAGAACTCCAATACCTCCTAGATAGATACCAGGGAAATTCGTTAATGTGTGAACAAAGTCAAACAGTGTGTATATGTAATTTAATCTCAGCATAAATGCAGCTGTTTTCCTCCCAACAATAATATTGCCTCTTCAGCAGTTTTTTATAGACTAAAAGGCGTCATTATCATGAAGAAACTCACCATTATTCAGGGACAGAGTTGTGGACAGGGAGTTTAGCTGTGAAATAAGTATCCTGAGTTGTCCTAAGACCCCTTTTAATCCATTACCAAAAGGGGAACAAAGTCTGAAGGACCTGCAAAGATCCACAGCTCAGGTGGAATCTATAAATCTGGCCTTTATAGAAGAATGTGTTGCCATATTAAGCACCTGTTTAAAGTTCTCCACAAGCCAAGTGAGATAGCTGTCTGGTGACTGCACCTTTTAGTCAACATGCTATGCATGATGAAACAACTAAACTTGTTAGAGGCTGCCAGAGAATAAACTGCAGTAAAATGCGTTAAATTAAGCCTACAGTTGTGTAAAGCAGGTTGAGACACAAAGCCAATGGCGTAAATATCGGTAAGCAGAGTCTGCAGTTGCTTACGGGCCCGGGACCTCTTAGGGGCCCCATCACTAACACCAGGTAAGCCCACCTGGTAAATAGACTAGGAAGTGTCTTTGCAGATGTAATGGTGCGAAAAATTCCACTTTGACCCACTTGATACTAAAGTGAATAACCTCACCGGACCGTATTTTAATGCACAACACATGCCAGATTTCAACAGGATGGTGAGCCGTTTAAAAACGACACCAATAGCAAAGCAGACAGTGGTACTTTTAATTACTATGTTAATAACTGTGTATAGACGGTTGGTAAAAAAAAACAAAACTCATATAATATGTTTCAAACTGCAATAAAGTTCTTAAAAGAACGATGTACATGAGTATTTTATTTGTTACACTACGGCTTGGAATTGTGGGTAATCCAGAGCATAGATTAAAACCATAACCATTACGTACAATGTGTTAGTGACGATTGATACCAAAAAGAGGTACTTAACCGGATACCAGAAATGAAAAGCAAAGAAGAGCTGCAGGAAGAACAGAAAAAACTTCCCAAAATAAACACGTTCTTTCCAAGAACCGAAGAGGGAGAGGTGGACGTTGCTGCTACGGTGAGTGAAGATTTCGACCAGGTGACGAATGGAGAGCGCGTGGGGAGGAGGGGGACTGTGAAGCTCAAGGTACCCCCATGGCTTGTTGTGCTAATATAATAAAGTATAATAATTGTCTAGTGAAGATGAAGAATGATGAAGTGTGTATGTATGGGGCACGTTTCGGGTCCGTTGTCTACTGCGGGTGGGAGGGGATCGATAAGCATCTCCCTGAAATGAGTTTTCAGAAGTTGGGATGTCTATAACATGTGGTGGTGCGCTGTCACCAATGGTTCCATTCAAGGTGCGCAGTCACTATTTTTCCATGTCTGATGTGTGATCATATACCACTGAGAATTGCATAATTGTTTCTTCTCAGCCAATTTATTAAACTGTCGCCGTATCCTGAACCTTTATCACGTGTTGTTCTTCATATGGGGCCCACCCAGAAAATGTTGCTTACAGGCCTATTGTTGTCTAGTTACACCATAGCACAAAGCATTGCTATTCTTGAGTTAGCTAAAAAAAAAAAAAATTTAATAAACTTCAGATAATCTGTAAATATGTCAGTTAAATACTATAATGCATTGGAAGTTTAAATGTTCATTAATACTATTCCAAAGTAGTGTAAGTTTAACGCTGCCAATTCCCCTGCAGGGACAGTACTGTGAGCTGTGGTGTCATTCCTGTCGACTCGGTGGAGTTCGGACTGTCTCCTTCTCTGAAGACAGTAACACAGTTTTCACAACTGGCTTAAAAGACGGTTCTCTCCAGTGCACCAAGCTCAGGTAACAATTATAATCATCTTATTTGCAACTTTGAACAACAGAGGGTGCCCCTGCTTGCATGCATACAGCATGTCACACCTACAGCTTTATATAGCTTTTGATAAACTATTAATGGTGCTGGAAAGAAGTAAATAAACTTGATTTAATGTGGGTGGTATTTTGAGGTCATATAAAAATAATGAGCCTAAACTGGAAAAAAAACATGTTCTGTTGTAAAAATCACATTCAAGCTCTAAAAACCTTCCCACTTACATTCCTCATCAGCTCCTACGCAAATAAGTCTCAGGTTACAAGAACTTGTCACCTTTCTTTTCTTTTTAGATATTCTTGTCTTGGCATCTAATTGATATTTTATTATTACTAATTCTTTAATAATGCACTTCAATTAAAAGTACTATGTGTTGTTTTATTGATAGCCAATGCATTACCATGGTGCAATAGATAAAATAAGAATGCTAATGTGATCATGTTGCATTTCAGAGAAGACGAAAGTCAGCAAGAAAGTAAAGAGAAACTGATCGCTTCTGGTGCTGATTTTCACTGAACAACTGCAACTACATTAAGATAAATTTGCCTATTCGTTTTTTTTCAGACTTTCATACAGAAGGGAGGATGCATATCGCGATATGATCGCTCTGCCCTTGAGAACCTTATTCCTTGTTGAAAACTCTGAGCTGAGGAAGCTTTCTGTGTGGGTTGAGAAGACTCCAGTTGGCTGCAATAACACAGAGGAAGATGCGGTAAACTGCTCTATTATACTCAGCTTTACTGTGACACTGTTTATTTTCTCTTTTAGGTTTTGCTTTAGATTAAATAATCCTTTAATTCTAGCTCTACATGGTGCTAATTACCAAAAAACAATAGTGTTATTAGTTATTTGTTCTGCATAACTGATGATAATAAAGAGTTTTCTTTAAGATAATTTAATTCATTCACACCCATTGGTCATTAATATATTGGATATCACTGAATATATACTCTATTCATCCTTCCATTTTCTTGCATCTCAAGTGGGGTCGCGAGGGGTGCTGGTGCCTATCTGCAGCAGTCAATGGGTGAGAGGCAGGGTACACCCTGGACAGGTCGCCAGTCCATCGCAGGGCAACACAGAGACACACAACCATTCATGCACACACTCACACCTAAGGAGAATTTAGAGAAGCCAATCAACCTAACAGTCATGTTTTTGGACTGTGGGAGGAAGCCAGAGTACCTGGAGAGAACCCACGCATGCTCAGGGAGAACATGCAAACTCCATGCAGAAAGACCCCAGGCTGGGAATCGAACCCAGAACCTTCTTGCTGAAAGGCAGCAGCCCACTGCATATATACTAATATGTGTTTAATAATCAAATGATACACTGTGTATCTGTATAATTTATTAAATAAAAATGAATAAAGTACTTCAAAAAGGCAATGTTTAGATGATGCTGGAAGAAGAGTTGAGGATATTATAAGTTCAAACTTCTTCCGGCTGCTTTAACCTGCCAAATTAGTTTCCACCCTATGTGTTTGTGTGTGTGTATTATGGTTGCATGGCTGCTTATAAATGATAGAATGGATCAAATCTAAAGCATCAGGTACCTTTTCAGATTTTGATTGTTCCCAAAGGAAATGTGCTTAGCTACTCTGCATCTCCAAAACACCCCCCAAAATGTACCATATGTATTTAATGCTCTGAACTTCAAAATCAATGTGTTTTTTTTTCTCCCACACTGTTTACATTTGATTACTGCTGCACTTTAAGAAATTGAAATGTCATAAAAGCTGTACAAAATCAAATGTCGTTTTGTATATACTCTATGTAGACGAAATGACAATAAATGTTGACCATATCTAATCTCAGATTTCCTATATATTGTTTACGTTGTACAGGTCAGTTGTGCAGCATTGATTGATGCAAGGGAGCGAGATGCAAGTTACATTTCCCCTGCTCAAAACTCAAACTCAACCTGGAAGGAAAAGAGACAAGAAGCTGTGAGTGACTCCCTGCTATATCAGTGATAATGATAAGGATGTAGATCATGTTAAAGTATGTTTAGATATTTATCTTTATTCTCAACAGATAAGCATTAAAGGGCCTGGCCCATGAGTGGGACTTCAGAGAGAGCTGTTTATTGTTGGCACTCCCTTTCATCTTGTAGTAGTTTGATTTATGGTTCTTTACAGAGTAGGAGGGATAAATAATTACAGAGGCATTAAAAGACCTGTTTGCATCTTTCCACTTGACAAAGGCTCAACATAAAGATAAACCAATAATAAGGTCTGGCTATATCCTATGTAGGGGAATTTGCAAAAGCTGAAAAGATGGTTCTTTCTTGCTTTAGTTGTTTGCAGAACAATTTATATGTATCTTTCCTATTATATCTTCAACAGATTGTAAAAGAAGACAATGAGAAGTGTGCAGAAACAAAGACATACCTGAGAGAAGAGATGACAAGTATACGGGAGGCTGTAAGTGGGTTCTTTGTTGCCATTTGTATGGTATAACATTTTTTCCCCACTCTTAAAGAGATACTCAACAAGGTACAATGTAATTACAGAGACTAAAGAGAAAATTGTGTAATAGGTTATTTGATTGAGGCAGTGGTTTTGCATCTAAAGAATGTATATAATATTTATATAGAATATTAATGCGTCCAGCAGTGATTTACAAAATAATCTAAATCAAATTTTCAAAGCTTATGTCCCAAATCTTGATCCTTTTTTTTTTTCAATTAGTGCATATACACCCATGTCTTTTGTTGATGAGCTATAGACCAAAAATAATGCACTTTCAGTTTGGATGCAATAAATGCTAAGAAAAAAAAAAAAAGGATTTTCCAGCATTTGATTTGCTAGTAAATAGACAGATGTTAACAATGGAAAAACAAACAATCTACATTTGAATTTGATTCTTCTCTCTTAAGATGTGTGAAATATGCCTTTTTGTTTTGCTGTCAGCTTCAAAAACTTATGCTTGAAAATGAGCATGTCCCTATTGAAGAGTTTAACTTGGATGTGGAGGGGCAGAGGGCAATGGATTCCATGGTGGAGGAGGAAGCTGAGAAGGTCCTGCAAACTCAAAAAACATTGCCATTGATCCTAAATAATCCTTTCACAAATGATCTTTAATGTCGCTCCCTTGTGCAGGTGAGGGCGGAAATTCAGCTGGACATTGCAAAAAACCGTCACCTCTATGATGTTATGAAGAGGGAATGCTGGGATTCCTTTATGGTCAAACCCAGGAGCATCATGGTCAGCTCTTATGAAATGAGACCTTTTCTCAGATCTCTTAGCTTTGAATTAAGATTTTCTTTCACCCACAGGCCTTCCACTCTGAAATGGAAGTGAAGAACTATCCCCTCAAAGAGAGAACAGAGAAGGAGTTGGAGGACCTCCATAGGGTTCAAAATATAAGGAAGAATGAAATGGCTGCAAACAGGGTAAATAAAACTGCTGGCCTAGATTCTATTTGATGAGGCAAAGTGATTCACATGTGATGAGTTAGATAATTAGATCCATGTTTGCTGTTCTGGCTGTGAGGTAAGAATGCAATGTTTTCTAAACAGAATAGCAGGGAAACTTTATTTATATGTCTCTCTGGAAAATCTTTAAGGCAAAATTATTTAGGTACAAGCTAGTTTAGTTTGGAGAAACAAGCTTTAGCTTTGAACCTCAAACCTTTCTGAACTGTCCCTGCTGCAGCCTTGTTGAAATACTTGAAAACACGGCAGTCCAAGGCTGTTGAAATGTTTGGAGATTTATAGCTGTGTGGTTGAAAGCAGGCTTCTGAAATAATTCCCTTAATTGCAGTATTCTTTGATTCTATAGTTTATAATCTTCTTGCCGCAAATTCTGAGCTTATGTTTTGCTGTAACATTTGTTGTCCCACAACTTTAACCTACAGCTGAGTGGCCAGGAGAAAAGTGACAGCGAACCGGAGGAAGAGCCAGCGGAGGAGGAAGGCCATGGGGCAGAGAGCACAGCTCTGAGTGGAAGCATTTCAGCCCAGCTAGGATATTTCAATCCTTACCTCTACAACCAGTTCAGCTTGAAAACTATCGAACAGAGGAGCAACCAGATCATATTGTTACAGGTCTGTCAAATTGTGGTAAAAAAAGGGCATATTTTTCATTTAAAGTCTGCAGTGCTTTCGGAAGCCAGTGGCAAACATCCTGAAACAGGACCAGTAGTCATTGTTGGAGACTTAGATGTAATATTTAAAATGTATAAAAAGATGCAATCTTTTATTTTTTATGATTTATTTTTATCTTGCATGTTATTTTCCTGCTTTAGGTCAGTTAGGTTTACCTAAACCATTTTTATTGCTCAGGTGCAAAAAAATATCAGGAGTTTTTAACAATTTTTAATTTTATTTTTGTACATTTCCGTTGTATTTAATAAAGCTGCTTTTTAAACTGTTTACTAGGGTCAAATGGATTGGGCTTCCTACCACAAGATTCTAACTTTATTTTTCAATGTTTAGGGTTTTATTTATTATTTTATTTTATTATCCCAGAGGGGAAATCTGTGTCACAGCCAGCAAAGAAAATAGAAAAAAAAGCCCAACATTCATCAACCATAATACATAATTCTGGTTAATGTCTTAAGATTTTCTCCACAGACTGTTCTTTCCTCATGATGTTATCTCTGTTTTGAAGCACCAGGGGGCCGCCAGCCCCTTGTTTCACTGTAATGTTGATTTTTATTTTACACACATTTCTTTCTAATCGAATCGCGCAGGAACACAGAACCTATCTTCTTCCTGAACATTTTATTCATTGTGTATACATAGTGTTTAAACTTGTGGTTTAAAGAATGAGTCAGATGCCCAGCTTCAGTTTATTATTGTTACTGTCCACATCCTAATTAGAAATACATTCTGTCACCTCTGAACTCAGGATTTGGTTTATGACATCAAGATGGATTTCAACTCAGATTTCGAAGCTCTGCACAGGGGGAAATTGGAAGTGCTCAGACATGTGAAGGACGGGAACAAAAGGATCCGGGAACTCATGCTGAAACTAGACATAGAGCAGAAGCTGTGGGAGCCCAGTCTGACCGACAGCGAGTGGCCAGAGAGACTGTTCACTTTGGACGACTCTGAGGTTACTATCATCATTTAATGTCCCAGCAGTGGACATGGTTCATTTAAAATTCAACAAAGCATGAGGGGCTGTAGAACTGCTCTGTGGATTGTTTGTCTGTTCTCCTGTGCTGAGATGTGAGCTGCTATGTAATTGTTATCGTGAGATGTTGCCTTTGTCCCACTTTAGATTAAGGCAGAGAAATACCTCAACCTGGAGCAGAAAGAAGAAGAAGAAGAAGAGAGGCGGAGGTTGGCGACGGAGAACCACCTGACTGCACACGTATGCCTTCATGATAAACACTGGAGTTTTTTTTGTGTGTTTTCCATCAAGATTCATAAATTTCTTACTTTTATCTGCAATGTTGAAATAGAGTAGACTAGAGTATTTTATTTTGCTTTAGTATTTTATGAAGGATTGGTTCCTTGATCTCATCATCCTGCGAAAGAGGGACAAAAAAATCCATAAACTGGGAAAATGTGACCTTTTTAATCATTACTTTTCATGGACTTTATTTATAATGGTCAACAGAAACTGCCTATTTGAAAGGGGAAAAAAAGGAAAAATGAGAACATTTTAGAAAAGGTAAACATTTTCTGTTCAATGAGTGGCCAATCAATCCATAGCAGGTCAGATAATGTGCCTTGTAATTTCCTCTTAGCTTTAAGCATTAAATTTAGAAAAGATTTCAGAATGAATCTCATCTCTGTTACACAGGCACTCACCGTTTTGTTTTTCTAAATGCTTTAAACAACATCTAACCTTATTATGTTAGTGTATCTTTGAAGAGTGAATGGCTTTTATTATTTCTGAAGCATAGCATTACAAGTTTTAGTGTAGTGTCTGGCTTAAATTGATCCAAGTGGACAGAAATCAGAGAGAAAACGGAATATATATCTTCATATGTAAATGGTACATGAGGCCTCTAAATGAATCAATGAACCACATTTCAAATTATATTCTTTTTATTATTCCCTAATTTATTTCTTATTTTTATTTATTTTTGTTCAGAGATAAATCTAATCTAGCTCATCTAATCTATGGGCTAAAACTGCTCATTTGTTTTAAAACAGTTCAACCTTTTTCTTTTTAGGCTGTGTGAGCAGAATTAGACCAAACAGCATGATGAGCACATAGTTTATTTTGATTCTACTTCACAGGAAATGCCTCCTCCTGAGTTTGTTTTGACCAAAGCTGAAACTCAGTGTTGCATCGAGGAGAGAGAAGTATGCAAAGAAAATGAGAGGAGCTTCAAAGATCTCGATAAAGAGGACGGTATAAAGGTAATAAGAAAATATATTTACATGCATATAGTTCTGCTTATGCAATTTCATATTTGATTATCAACATTCTAGAGCAAAAGTAATCATTTGGAAACTCTGGCTCTGCAGGCGCCTGAAATTGAAATGAAAGCTCTGCAGCAATCCATCAAATATAAAACTGAAAACTTTGACAAAATGCTTGCAGAGCTTGAGGAAAAGAAACTCAAATGCACAATAGCTATAGATCAGGTAAGTTTGTAAAAAGTCTCTTAAAAGTGTTCATCCCACTGGATCCTCTCCAAACTTGATCCCCATAAAAAAACACAAGGTTCAATGTCTTTTATCCAAGAGCGTTTGATTGCTAGGAAATCTCTAACTGATTATCAAACCTTTTACAACCATCAACTGAAAAGTGTGACCTATGTATGCATTCAACCCATTGCTTATGTTTGATTAAGTTCTGAGTGTGGTTTTGACAGGAAGAGATGAAGATCATCAACCTGAATTATACAGTGATCAAGGCTGAGCAGTTGGACAATCAAGAGCAGAAGCTCAAGCTAAAACTTGAACAGGCGTCTGCACACAAGGTTGGAAAAGTTGCACCCTAATGCTGCAGGAATGTATTAATCGCCTGTGCTAGAATCAATTTATTAAAATTGGCAGAATTATTTGTATGTATTCCAGTCCATCACCTTTGTATTCCTTATAGTTAATTTGACAATGGGGTGTGTAGCAACAGGTACATGTGTCAGGCTGAATGGCCAAAACTGTATTTTTCTGACAGATGAAAATGGCGATAGCCTTGAGGACATATAAGGAGGAGGTGAAACAGTTTCAGTGGGAATATGACAGAATTGTAGCTGAAGACAAAGTAAGCCTGTCAATAAAATGATAATTAAAAAAGATAAATTAAAAACACAGTCCTAGTGATAATTGGATTTTATTTCATCATCCAAAGGTTCTGGATAAACAGTTTAGGAGGGACTTTGCAGACGTGCCAAACAACATGGTCAAGCAGCTTTACAAGCTGTTCAAATGTAGACCAAAGTATGTATGCAACCATTTCCATTCATCAGCTGTCTAATAGAGGTTTTCTTTAAAGTTGTGACTACCATGAGTATTTTCAGGGTTCAAGTTTTGAGGGCCCAGACTGGAAACCCACCCAACTTCTTAAAGCAGCGTCACCTGACTGACTCCGCTTCTCCTGATGGACTCAGTCAACTTCTCAAAGCCATGGAAAAGCTGGATGCTCCAGAAAATATGCCAAAAATGCTGAAACCATCCATCTGGAAGAGATTTTGTCTTGTGCGCAAAACAAAAGTAGAGTGTGAACAAACGGTAATATGAGGGGGGAAGATTAAAAAAGCAAAATGTATTAAAAAAAAAACATCTACATATCTGGATTTGTTTTACATCTCGGTGAAGTTATTTAAATGTTTGAATTTATTTCTTCCTTGGTAGTAAGTTTAGCTCTTTTTTTTTTTTTTTACGGTTTTACAGATTCATAGAAAAGCATTAAATCTCGCTGAGATGCAGGCCTTTCTGCAGAGAAGAAAAGACCAACTTGATCTGGCAGAAAAAGAGATCAGTCAGATTAGTGACGCCATTCGGAGGTAGGACATCTTAGTTTTTCGTTGCAACACTGCATAACTTTTGACTCAAAGATGTGGCTTAATTATAGGTATATTTAATGATTTCAGGTCCATATGCAGCACTTGGTGTTTATTGATGCTTGGTGAGATCTGCCCTTATCAAAAACATGTCTATATAACTCAAAGGGGTTGGATCCAAGAGTTTTCTGACCCAGAGTTCAGCAGTCAGAGCTCCCCTTATTCAGGAGAGCTAACTAAGCTTAAAGTAGTTGGGCAACAAAACAGATACTGACCCTTACCTGATCAGACATATGTTTTGGTTCTCTGATGTAGGATTTAATACAGAGGGGGGAATGTGGCCTTGAATTTAAAAGTAACTCAATCTTCTGGTCCAAAGTGGTCTGTTATCAGATTGCAAAACATGGAGAGACTGTTTCATTTTTGCTTTCAGGAAGCCTAAAGCTTTAAATCTAAAGCTTTAAATCAGCAAATAGACTCTATCAATTTTCTGCTGTTTTAAAAAAAGAAAAAAAAAAAAAAAAAAGAAAAAAAAAAAAATATATATATATATATATATATATATATATATATATATATATATATATATATATATAAAATTATTTTAAAGTTATTCAAACATTATGGGGAGTTTGGTTAACTTGCAGTTTCAGAAACACTTTACGCTATATGGACTGAATCACTGAACTATTAATTCAGTACATGGCCTTATTGAATTACTAGTCGCATTTCTAGATGATCACAACAAAAAGGGAAAATAAATAAAATAACAAACCAACAAAAACAACATGCTATATGGAAATTAATCAACCATGCGTTATTCTATTCTGAAGTATTTAGTCAGTGGTTTCTGTTTTCTGTAGCGTCGTGGACGAGAGGAACGAGCATCTCACTAACTACACGGTCCAGGTTGTAGTGAAATATGGACAGGTGGAGCCTTCAGTTTTGTCAACTGATACACCTGGAGAGAACGCCGCCATCGTCCACAGAAGTGTGGTAGAGAACTTGACGGTCTGTCTTAATCTTCAAAATACTGACAGTACATTTTTTCGTAAAACAAACCAAAAAAAAAAGAAAATCTTTTTTGATTTTGGAATAAAAGAACAAAAAAACATGTCTGTATCATCAGGCACTCAAGAAAGCAAACACAAAGGTCCATAAAAACATCGCCCATCTGGAGTGGGAGAATCGGGTATTGAACAAGAAGTTGGAGATTTTAAAAGAGCAGAAGAGGGAAATCAGGCGGCTTAAACTCTCAGAGGAGCAGAAGGAAATGATGGTAATCTAGTTCATAATCATAACTTTGTCTTTTGATTTCAGGGGAACTGTCATCTGCTCACAGATAATTATTGTAACTTCTCTGATGTGGTAATAATATGTCAGATAGATTAGATTGGCTATATGTAAAATCTTTTCACTTTAATTCTCCTGATTAATTTCTAGCCTGTTTAAGTTTACTGTGGTGTGAAACAGTAGATTTTACTTTTTAAACCTGATTTACATTTAAAAAAAAAATCAATAAAGTTATTTATAACAGTTCAAAAACAGCACAGAACATGCGCTTTCAAGTTTTTATGCCAGTTTGGCATATGGCAGTGGGCTCCAGTAGCTTTGCTGCTGTTAGCTTCCTGACATTGTTAAAGCCCATAAAACACAGAGGAAGAAAACAGTGAATAGACAAAACTATTCTTCTGACTAATAATATTTCCCGATAAAGAAGCTGCCACATTTGTTGTGATATCTTTCATTAAAAGACTTCTTTCTCCCAGTTTCTCAGCAGGCAGGATTGGAGCACTCACACGGAAGAGAAAATTTCCAAAATGGAACAAAGTATTGCTTTGATGAAAAAGGTAACTGATCATTTTATTTAATCTCAAAAGCCAGCAAGACCTTAAATATTTGAATAATACACGGCATTCCCATTTTCAGATCCACGAGAAAAACATTCAACAGCGCAAGAAAAGGTTGCAAGGGGTCAAGAAAAAGATGGCAAAGATAGCAGAGAGCAATGCTGACCTAGAGAAGGAGCTTCCTCGTGTTCAGGAGACTGTTGCAAAGCTGACACAGATCTATGAACGAGGAGGTAATGATAAACAGATCCACAGGTCCATCTCTCTTATTTCAAATATCACTGAAAAGTTGAACCCAATCACAAGGTATTAATTGTATGGATTCATTATACACAGTGGTATACCGCATTTCAAGCCCTAATTGCTCATTAGGTGTTATGACTCATATTTCAGTTCCCCAGAAAAATAATATCTATAGGTAAGATACAAAGAATATTATATTTAATTAATAGAAGAATTTCAACAGTGGAATAAAATGTGCTGCTCAGCATTTCCACTCAATAGGCTTATTTTATCATTATAGCAGGATGGAGGTGATGGTCCTTTTAAGATGTATTAGTACAGTAAAAGATCTGAATCCACTACTTTGAATCCCCCACATGGACTTCACTTGACAGTTGAAGTCAGCGTTACTCAGTTTCAGGAACTGTCCTTAGCTGAGACTAGGGACTATACAGTTGTGCACAAGTTGCATAAAAGTACATTATTTTGTGGGTATGTGTGACACATGCTAATGGACACATTAGCATGTGTCATAAAGGCCATACATTTTTGGTTTTTTAATAAGAGCTTTAGCCATTTGTCTTTTGTTTCTTGTACTGTTCCGGAAGGCTGCTGTAGTTCCAATTAGACATGCATCATTTGAATGCTTGTCCAACGACATCCCTTAGGCTGAAGGTTGTCTGAACTGAGCAAAGCAGCCAGGAACTCCATGATAGTGTTTTTTTTAAACTGTTGACCCTTTGAAAGGTGAAGAAATGTGAGCTATAAACGGCAGATTAAGGTATTCAGCAAACGAGCCATTTGATTCAGGTGTGTGGAAGCAGAGACACATCTTAACTGTGCAGGACATCCCCTAAACTTTCCATAAATAGGCTTGGACGCCACTTCTGTGTCAATAACCATGTCCTGGATACTATGACATGTCTGTATTAAATATGTATTTATTGCTCTTATGTAACAGAAAATCATTTCCAGAATTGCAGGTTATTATTGGCTACAAGTCATAATCCTCACTCAGGTTTAACAAATTAAATGCATTAATCTGAGTAATAAAAAAAAAAAAAATAGTTTTTAATCTTTGAATAAAAAAGCCTGAAATACAAAATTCTATTAGTTTACTCTCTGAATTGCACCTGTTATTTTCTATGCAGAGGGGATGGTTTTTTTGTTTTTTTCAAATGTAGTTTTTAAACCAAGCTCTTTTGGCATTTTAGCTGGAACGGAAGATGAAGACGCAAAAAGAGAGAAGCGCTTTCAGGAAATCCGTAAGAAGGCCATACAGAAGAGACGTGCAAAGGCTCAGTCAGAGGAACTGGAACGACTCCAGAGAGATCAACAGCGTCTGGAAAGAAAATATTATCCCACATTCGATTAGTTGCAGTTCAACTAATGAACAACAGTTTTATTTGTTGACTTTGTTGCAAACGGGCATAAAATGTTAATGTTAAAATGTTAAAAGATAGATTAGATCTTTATAGTGTCTTACACACAATCCTTTAAGTAAATGTATTGTTTTTTTGAACGCAGTACATTTTGCCACAGGATGTTAATGTTGTTACCTTTGCTGTGAACAAGAACTGGAAATATATACAGTTAACTGTGTTAACTCCTTTTTGGTGTCTGTTGAACTTAAGATACTGCTTCAGGTATTAAGTAGTGAAATCCCCCTCTACACGGTCAAAGCGCAGAATGCTGTCATCCAGACCGAACAGGTCAATGAGCTCAGACGGTTCAGCTTTTCTTCCCTCTATGGGGAGCTCTGACTGGAGCTCATACAGAGCAGCCTGAGCACAACTCGAACACTTGTCAATAAAGGTTTGGAGCTGCATCAAATCATTTTGGGGAAAAAGAGAGACACACTTTATATTTTACTATTTTCAGTAGTCACAACTAAACAGGGTCAAAGATACTTGGATTATTGAACTAATACCTTGTTTCTGTACATTTTGACCTTAAGCTAAATCTTCTGAGGAGATCTGTGTTGGTTGAGAAGACTTAGACTGTCCCTCACTGCCCAGCCTAGTTTTATTCCTGTTTGCATCCTCACCGTGGATCTCCGAGGAGTCTGCAGAAACTTGCTTGCTGTCCTCATCTTCTTCCTCATTGTCAACACAAAGGCAGTTGGCCACAGAGAGGGATGAGATGATGGAGTGCTGTGTTCTCTTCAGCCTCTCCCTTAGTGAGGCGCTCAGCCCAGAGCGATGCTGAGGAGTGGAAACGCTTCAAATGCTAATCAGCACCCCAGTATTTATGAAAGCAAGGATGGAGATTGTAACAATATTTAGTTCTTAGTGTCCTTCTCATACAGATCATTAGTTTAATTTTAAAGTAAATTTTTGATTTCCTGAAAGCACGCACATGCGCGATCACGACGCTACGGAAGCCGGCAGACCAAACCAGATGAAAGTGCGCATTCAGCGTCTGCTCTTCCAATAATGCAAGCGTAGAAGAAGAACTGTGCCGTTTACCTGTGCAAAGAAAGAAACAACGAAAGAAAAATGTCTGAGGACTTCAGTGTTGAGGAAGAGCATGAGTTCTTTGCCGAGCTGAATGCGCTGGTTTGGTCTGCCGGCTTCCATAGCGTCGTGAATGCGCATGTGCGCGCTTTCAGGAAATCCTATACACTACTGTTTATGCTCTAAAAACATTCTAAATGACTTCGTTTCGAGTAAATTCTGGATGCTACCCACTCAGGACACTTGGAATACATTGGACGACCAGTATGGAGGAATATTGACACGTTTTTTGTGGACTTTTATGGACCTTTCTGTCTCGGGCACAATAGACCTCCATTATTTGAATGTCAGCAGACAGCAAGAAGCCTCCCAGATCTCCAGATGCATTTGAGATATCAAAAAAGTACTCCAGAGTGTTGTTCAGCATGGGGGTGAGTAGAAAATGAAGGCTAATCATGTTTTGGGTGTACTATTCCTTTAAGACTATGCTGTAATGCCAGCATGCTGATTTGGTCCTCTTAATTCAATTCAATTCAGTTTATTTATAGAGCGCCAATCCACAACACATGTCATCTCAGGGCACTTTACAGTTCACCAGATCAGACAGTCAAATTGATTCAAAGATTTATATCTAAGGAAAAGCAGTTAATTGCATCGAATCATTGACTTGAATGCAATCCCTCACACTAAGCAGGCTTGTAGCGACAGTGGAGAGGAAAACACCCTTTGAACAGGAAGAAACCTCCAGCAGAACGAGGCTCAGTGTCAAGGAGATAAAAAAAAAACAACTGTAAAAGGCGGGCCTCTCCAGAAAACACACGAGGCGAAGCTACTATGAGAAAAAGTAGAGAGAGCATAACGTTAGCAGAATGATGAAAAAGGGGTCCCTGTGTCCTCCAGAAGTCTAAAGGCCAATTTATACTTCTGAAAGCTTGATTGAGGAGGTTTGGAAGTACAACCACTTGTACGATGCCTCAGACATGTTCTGGAAAATAAACACTCCTGCCGGCGCCGCCGAAGAAGTTCTCGTGACCATCCGCCGAAGTTCTCGCAAGTTCTCAGACAGGTTCCCCCTAGCGCTTTGCCGGGAAACTGCTGTGCATCCCTAGAAATTCCAGACCGACGTTGCAGAAGCATAGAAGCCAAACTGGTCTGGACCAGACCCAAGCGACATTTGATGTGTGCAGCTGCAGAAATATAATCAGCCCTTTAGCAGCATACCGGTAACTATAGAGATGGCTCAGGATAACCTGAGCCACTTTAACTATAAGCTTTATCATAATGGGAAGTTTGAAGCCAACTCTAAAAAGTAGACAATGTGCCTGCCTCACAAACTAAAGCGAAGTGCGCTGTTAAGGACATTAGGAACAGTCATATCACTGATATAAGATGAGATGGAGCTTGGCCATTTAAGGTTTTTATGTGAGAAGGAGAATTTTAAATTCTATTTTGGATTTAACTGGAAGCCAATGAAGAGAAGCTAGGATAGGAGAGATATGATCTCTCTTTTTAATTTTCATCAGAACTCTGGCTGCAGCATTTTGGATCAGCTGAAGGATTTTAATTACAGTTTGTGGACTTCCTGATAGTAAAGAATTACAATAGTCCAGCCTTGAAGTAACAAATGCATGGACTAGTTTCTCAGCATCACCCCTGGACAGGATATTTCTAATTTTTGCAATATTCCGCAGATGAAAGAAGGAAATTGTAGAAACCTCTTTGAAATGGGATTTAAATGACAGGTCCTGATCGAAAATAACACCAAGTTTTTTACTTTATTATCTGAAATCAGTTTAATCCCATCCAAATGAAGTGACTGACTAAGAAGCTTCTTTTTCAAAGAATCTGGTCCAAAAACTATAACTTCTGTTTTGTCTGCATTCAGAAGGAGAAAGTTAAGAGTCATTGAGGTTTTTATGTCTTAAAGACATACCTGTAATGTAAGTAATGGGTTAGCTTCATCTGGATTTATAGACAGATATAGCTGAGTATCATCAGCATAACAGTGGAAATTAATCTGATGCTGTCGAATAATTCTGCCAGTTGAGAGCATATGTATAGCAAAGAGAATTGGTCCTAGCACTTATTCCTGTGGTACTCCACAGGTAACCCTTGAGCATGAGGAAGATTTGTAATTAACGCGAACAAGCTGAAACCGATCAGATAGATAAGATTTAAACCAGTCTAGTGCTGTTCCTTTAATTCCCACAAAATATTCAAGTCTTTCTAAAAGATTATTATGATTAACTGTATCAAGTGCAGCTTTATACAGTTGATCTAACAAGACAACTCTTCAAAAAGTTCAAGCAGACTTGTTTGGCAACTACTTTCTCAAGAATTTTAGATAAGAAAGGAAGATTGGAAATAGATCTATAATTGTCCAAGTCATCTGGGTCAAGAGACAGTTTCTTCAATAAAGGTTTAATTACAGCAACCTTAAAAGCCTTTGGTACATATCCCCGTTACAGAGATATATTAATCACATCTAAAATGGAGGATGAGATCAAAGGGAATACCTCTTTAAATAAACTGGTTTGAACTGGATCTAACATACAAGTTGAAGGCTTAAGGCGTACACTGTGCAATTTTTTTCAATCGTTGCACGCAGCTACTGATCAAACTGTACGACTAAACTGCAGGGTTAGCTAAAGCACTTGTACTGCACTTGTACTTGTACTGTCAGTAACCAAACTGAAAATTTAAGTCAAGCAGACATTAGGTATAAGCAACCTAGTGATAAGCAAAAGTTATCACCTTATCTCATAGGAGTTTTGGACCTTTTTTTGCTAAATATTCAATAAAAAAGCAACCATTAAAACAGCTAAACCTGTTGGGATCTTTTCTTTATGACAGTGTGCCTTTTAACCTCAGTACCATTGGTGTTTCCTTTAGCGCTCCCAGTTTCCTATTATATCAATCGTAATCCTCATGACCTTAGGAAGTTGTAAAACAGGATTAACCTTTACATCCACACACTCCTAATATCGCCATCCACATTGTTTGTGTTACTTTTTCTCTTTGTGTCCAGTTGGATGACAAACATGCCTTTTTTGACCTGGCAGAAGACACAAGGTGTTTTAACGTCTGTCAGCATAGTGCTTACACTGCAGGGAGTCTGCAACTAGTGAAGCAGTTGTGTGAGTGTGTGTGAGACTTATTGAGTGCTGTCCATGTGAACAAGTTGTGTAAGCTTATTAGTAACACCAGTGGTAAGAGGAGGAGATTGAGGTTAGTCTAAGCCTTAATCCTCGTGGACCTTATGCCTGCTACACAGGGAGCACGACAAAATCCAGGCCCCGCCTCCTCAGGATGGACACCGCACAGAAACGCATGTCACAACAACACATTCTTCCCTGCTTTCTTGTTTACCACTCTCAACTCTTCCTCTCTTGTTCCTTTGCCAGCAGGCGGGGGGAGGAAGAGGAGCAAGCTGTGCACACTGTTGAGTAGCTTCCCAGTCGCCATGACGACCTCACACCCCATCATCCTTAGAGCTATCTTCTTGTTGCCTCGGTGACCTGATCCCATTTTGTCTCCGTTGCTTCTGATGATCCGGATTGAGCCCTTAAGGGAGAACAATCCGGGAACAGGCATTATATTTCTTCTAAAAACAGCCTGCGGACGGGGCAGCGGGATCCGGGGGGAAGCAGACATGATGGGAATGCTGTGGGACTAGCACCAGAGCGTTGCTTGGAAACAGAAGCATGCCAGTACAGCAGATAACTGTGGTCCCCGCAAGAGAGTCGGCCGGAAATGGAAAGAGTGCTCCTCGGTCCAAAGACAAGAATGAGGTGAGAGCGTGACTGTTGGAGCTCAAACATCAGTAGAAGTCAGGCAAGCTGTGAGCACATTTTTTTTGTCTTAGAAATAATTAAACTTTGGTCAGATTTTAAAGCTTTGTTTTTTTTAAAGAATGCAAGTTTTTTTATTATTATTATAGAAATGTGAATAAATTACTATTACTCTTTAATATCACCTGCTAGTACTTTAATACTTGACTTATGACCGGCATGTGCTTTTATTTGCTCTTTTTATTTATAGTTTCCATGTGTCTATATTACAGTTTGTTAAGACAGCAAGTCTTGCTTTATCCTTTCTAAACTTAGAGAGAAATGGAACCAGTATGCCACAGTATGTCACAGAATTCCACATGATCCTGTG